CCTAGGAGCTAATTCGCCATTCTATAACTCGATCATATATAAAAGTTAAGATGATTATATACATCAAATCAACCATTTAATCTCGTCTTTTGAGAGATTATATCCAACAACTCTCCTTTAATTATGATTTAATTTTTTTGAATCTCAAGGTTAAGAGAATCTTGCAGAGTTGATAAGATAGTTCAAGAAAAATGGATTGACATAAAATATTTTTCATAATTACAACGAGTAAGTAATATCCCTTGTTAATGTTCCTCACGCATAGATTAATTGATTTATAATTTGGTTATTTATAAAAATACCTCTCGAGTTGAAAGTTTGAGTCTATAATGATTTTGCTTTTTATTCTCCTTTAGTATGGTAAGTTTGATTGTAATTTGTTCAATATATATATGTATATATCATCCACTAATAAAAAAAACCCAAACCCATTAAGAGGTTTTTTGAGTTATTATAGAAATAAATATATAATATTTAAAATTTTTTAAATAAAAAATAAAATATTTTGTCTTACTAATCAAAATTACTATTTTTTTTAAAATTTTTATTTAAGTATGATTCTCACGATTTTACTAAAGAATTATCAAGTAGATGCAAATGATTATATTCTTTTTTTTTTTTGAACTTCAAAATTTTTTTTGGAAAAGAGTTAGTAGTGTCTAGATATAAATTCAAAACTTTATATTCAAACACTTTTCTTCAAACAAATAACTATTATGTCACTTAGTACTAAACGATTATATTATTGATTAAATGGTTACTAATCAAAAGTTTTTAATAAAAAATATAACCATCTACATCTATCTAGTATTTCTTTGGTAAAATCCTCTGAAATGTGTGGTAACTTTGATTAATAAAAAAAAATTGTCTCCTAAATTATAAAAGTTTTAAAATACTATATAGGAAATCTCGACGTTTTCATGACACATTAAAAGTTTTCTTGTGTAATGTTCAAATGTTCTCATGTTATAAGAAGTTTTATGTTTTGAAATTCCAAAATGTATAGAGCTATCATTTTCTTGTAAGTGCTTGCACACATGTGAGAAAGTAGAGGTTAGTGGGGCAATATCAACAATTGTAGCAAAAAAGTTCATCAGACAGTTGCCAAAATCCCCTAGTCAAAGCATTTTCATCAAACTTAAAACTACAAGAGATAAAAGTTTTAAAGTAGAAAGCCTATCAAAAACACCATATCTCACTTTTCCAAAAACCACATGATCTTGCTTGGGGATATTGAAAGATCACACTGCATCCCTCTAAAAAGAAGATTTTCCCCCCTCCCTCTGCCCCAATTCCCCACCCCATTAGTCCTCCTCACCTAAATTCTGTCGCTGACTTGGCATAAAATCACACGTGTCATGGCTTGATTGAACCACATAATCCTGGTCCACCCCTGCGACAGGGTTTTGTTCTGGCTTAACTGGCAGTCCCAATCATGTCCCAACATGTGTCACCCACTGGTTCCCTAACCTCGCAAAATCCAGACCCATGAATTATTGAACTTAGTTAATGATCAAGGGCAAGAAGATGGGTCCCTAAATCATGCATCCAAAAGACATAGTACATAGTGAAGGTGCAATTATTCATGCCATAGATTTCATCCTAAGCCATTCAAGGAACTAAAATTCCCTTACAAAACAGAATAAAAGGAGGAAACAAATGAAAAGGATGTTAATGTTTTGCAATTCGATTATATAAAACTGCAAATATCTCAACTCTATGATTACAAAGATCTACTTCTAATCCCATGAAAACTCTTTTATCATGAAAATAGTTAATGCTATATATTTAGTATAAGATGGACTGCAAAATACTTTCTCTAAAAAAAAAGAAAAAAGAAAAAAAAGAAAGCTATGAGTGTAATATAAAAATAAAATAATACATAATTTAGTACATCTTTTTTTAAATGTGACCGATTCCCATTTCCCACTCTCTCCTCATTGAGCTATCCAAGCAAAGGAAAGGAGGCTTCTCTTTCTCTCTTTTGTATCTGTCATTTCATATATTTCTCCCTTTCTACTTCTCCCCTTTCCTAATTCCTCCTCCTCTTCTTCTCCTTTATCTCTGTTTTTCTCTATGAGAGACCTAAACAGAGGGAAAACAGGGGAGCCATGAAGAACACCATCCGCTGTTGCATCGCTTGCATTCTTCCTTGTGGAGTTCTTGACGTGATTCGGATAGTTCATTCCAATGGCTATGTGGAAGAAATTAGCGGCACCATCAGAGCCAGCGACATCATGAAGGCCCATCCCAAGCATGTCCTCAAGAAACCCTCACCGCCTTCCGATGACAAGATGGTTCCGAAGATCGTCATAGTCCCACCGGATGCAGAGCTCCAACGTGGGAAGATTTACTTCCTCATGCCGGTCCCTCCAACCCCTCCAGAAAAGAAAGCATCCTCAACAACCAAGAAGAAGAAAAGAGAGAGTGATGTCAAAGACACCAGCAGCGGCGGGACTGGAACCAACAGCCACCACCACCGAAGAGCAAGCAGCACGAATAAGAACAATTCCATTTCCATGACGAATCTTCTAGTTTCCGATCAGTACTTGAGCGAGATACTGTCGGAGAAGATTTCAACTCAAAGGGATCGCCGGAGAGGCAGAGTTGCTGTGTGGAGACCTCACTTAGAGAGCATATTGGAGTCTCCAAACGATGCATAAAACCAGAATCCTGTTAAGAATTGTAATGAATTTCATTACAGTTCTTGTTTATTTAATTCATTCTTAGAGAATTCATCCATTAGGGTACCTGAGACAGAGTCCCCTGGTTTTAATCTTGTCTCCGCTTTTAATTTTCCTTTCATCTCTCTTTTTTGTTGTTGTTGTTGTTGTTGTTATTGTATATAGAGGCATCGGAGAAAAAAAATAACAATGCAAAAAGAGAGATGGGATCTTGAGCTTCTTGTGATTGGAAATTTCAGGTGTGAAATCTCTTGAAATATGTGATTTTGCAATGCTAGGAAAGATTATTGTCGCATCTTTCTGTGTTAACTGTTAGATAGCATGCTGGATTTGAGAGAAATATAAGGAATTTGAGAGAAACATAAGGAAGGGGAAGGACCTTTGAAGTTACTCTAAAACGTTGAGCCTTTATTTTTACATGTTTATTTCTAATTGATGAGTTTTTGTTATTACCTTTCTTACTTAACAAAAGGGTATAAAAAATATATTTAGTGCAGTCTTAACATTTTAAAATGTAATAGTAATATCATCCATAAGAGAGGTGCAAGGTGTACATGTTTTCTTTCTTCCTTCTTTCTTTTTTACCTTTTTTGGCTGAATAGTCATCCGCCAAGGGAAGAGAGAGATCCCATTTCCATTGTTTTTAGAATTTACCATCTGAATGAATGAGATTTGATTCAAAGGTGATGGTGATATGATACTGGAATAGGAATCATCATACATTACCACTTTAGCTATGATTATATGTGAAGATAATTAATTAGTTTACATTAGATGTACCAAAAAGAAAAAATAGTCTACATTAGGGTCATGATCTTTTTTATATCATCAATTAGTTTACAATTCCATGTCATTTTTACCTACTTACTCTTTTTTAAGGGTCAAGTGATATATGATTCAATTTTGTAGATTTGAGTTAAGGTCATCTTCTCATTCATATTAAAATTAGAAAACCAATGGGAAATCTGATTACCTTTTTGTCATAAATAGTTGGCAGAATAATACTTATCACAAATTTAAAAGATAACTTGGAGTACTAATATTAAATTATGAGAGGAAATGACACAAACATTGGTAGAGGATTGGAACCAAAATGTAACATCCCTATCAATCAAATTGGTTTATAGACAATAAAAGGGACTTTAAGGTGTATGGAATAATAGTCCCCACAAAGACTTTCCACCATAGAATAATTATAATGCACTTGTAGCCTTGCACTAACACAAAGTGGGGGAGAGAGAGGTCATGTTCTTTCAAGCATTTTCTTCTCCTAGAGATGATTACTACAATATGTTGCCAACAGAACAGAACACACAGCATCCTGTAAAGTTATATTACAGTAATATTTGACCTCTACATTGACTGGACTGCAGATGTTATGTTTAATGTTGTGCAGTCCCGACCTCCTGGGGCCAACAAAAAGGGGGATATCATAGGCATGTGCCTGAAAATTTGCTGTACCATTTGGTTCAGTTCCTATGTACCATGGCATGTGCCAGAAAATTTGCAGACACTGAGACTCAGTTTGATCCACTGAACCCAATTTTGTTTTCTCTTCTCCTTTTCTTTTGCACCATGTTCTGTTTCTTTCCCTTTTCTTGGAAACTATATTTCATTACACATATAAAAGCTTCTAATGCATTAAAAAAATATTTGGGATAAATGACCCATATGCTTTTATTGAGCCAAAAAGTCTTAG